TTAAATATGTTGGCTTTGTCGTCTGGCGTGACAACCAGATTCCCCGTCTTGTCCTGCAAGGGCCCCACATTTCCTGGGGCCTTCTTTCTACTCCCTATGTATTTAAAAAAGGACTTCTTGTTGTCCTTAATCCGGGAAGCCAGCCCCTGTTCCATCTCTGCCTTGGCCTTCCTAACCATCCCCCTACATCCCCAAACAACTGTAGAATAGTTCTCCTTTCTGATGACCCCTCCTTTCCATTTAATCAGCTAATGGTAACGGTCAGTCTAAAAAATATAGCTTGCTCCATTTTTCCTGTAAAGGCAGCTAGGTGACCATCAGTAGTCTTCCGTCTAATTCTTATCGGTGCAAACTATCTGATCATTTCTTGTGAAACAAGTTAATGTAGCTTCTCCTTTCGTAGCTTGCTTTCTCTAATTTTTGGGGGATAACTTGTAAAAGTCAGTTGCTTCAGTGGAAAGGCTATAAAGTTTTGCTGATTTTTAATTCTTCATTTCAGTATTTAATTAGTAATAAATGTGGCCAGTACGTGGACATTGGTGTGCTAGCAGCTGATTTGCAGAAAACTTATAGGTAAGCAAGAAGTTTAATCCTTACTTTGTTCTTTATAAAGTATGTAAATAATATATTTTTATTCATAACTTGCACTGTAAAAAAATTACATGGAATATTTCCCTTGGATGGATGGCCTCTTGCATTGTTAGAAAAATGAAACTAAAAGTTAATTAAATGTCACTAGTGGAGGGGAAAAATACAGATAGAGAAATCATTTGCACTGTTAAGTTCTCTCTGGGTGATGTACCTATTTCTGATTTGTGCAGGTAGTGCTATACATGTGCATCAAGGCTGTTCCAATGTGCTTTAATTGTAGCGCGTAATAACCATGCTCCAGCATCATGTGTATCAGCATCCCTGCACTGAGAAACGACAGCAGGGGCACTTTAGAACTCATCAAACAAGCTTTAGTTAAAGCACCCCTGCTGCCCTTTTTCAGTGCAGGGATGCTGATACACGTGATCTTCTTGCAGCCACTCTAATTAAATCACCCTTCCTCACCCGCCGACTCCTGGAGCATGTGAATAAATGTCCTATGAGTCCCAGTCATTGCCCATGATTGTGGGACCAAGCACCTTACAAACCCATAATAAGAAAATGGTCCCCACACTGAAAAGCATGAAAAAGAGAGAACAAGTAGATAAAGGCAGACAAGGGAGCACAAAACAACTGTAAGAATACTATTGGTCAGTGCAATAGGGAAGAGTCTGTGTGCCAGTCACCCAACCATTTTCAGTATTTGTTGGTTTGAGCCCCATCATAGAGTTAAGGAAGAATTCAAAGAGGCAAAGCAGCAGCTTTTGCATATGGTTACAGGGTTCTTTGTGGAGAGATGTTTAACTTGTGCTTTTAGGCATGCCTAGCCTGACAGGCTTGATTTTTAAGGTCGTCCATCTACTCTGTAAACCAAGAGTGTCAAACATGGCCTACAGAGCCATGTCTTCTGTCCCACAGATCTTCTAGAGGGGCTGGGAATTTGGAGTGGGAAAAGTGGGGCAGGGCTTGCTGCTGAAATCCAGGGTATGGAGCTCTTTTGGGGAAGGAAGCTCCATGATCCAGATCTGGCTTGGAGTAGGGCAGATAGGACGTTAAACTCATCTGTAAATCCCTTAGCTCAAACCCAGTGGCAGTTTAGCCTGACCTTGAAAGCTCTGCTGACCTTCCAAGTATGAGGTTAACCCTGCCCTTTTGCCCCTTCCTTTCTACACTGGGTCTAGAACTTACCTAGATGCTTCAGTCCTAAGGACTGAGAATCTGCCAGCACTAATTCCCTGCTACTGTGTTCTGGTCCTTATGCACTTCTTTCCCCTCTCTCTGATACAGAGAAGAGATGTTGGCAAAGTAATTTGTATTTTGGGAGGGGTTTTTTTGAGAAGCATATAACAGAGGAACCTGGGTTACATCTGTCTCAGTGTTGTTCTCAAGAAATAAGCGTGATGTTGCCAGCACAATTGTGAAGGCAAGGCAAGATGTAGGTGGGAAGGTGGAGGGGTGTCACAGGGCTCCGGCTAGATAAGAAAGACCTCAAAGTCCACCCTCACAACAGTGTCACATGCTGTTAGTTGAAGGAAATCTGACCCCTTAGGCATGAAGTTGGGAGATCATCTTTATTGCTAAGGATGAAAGAGACTGAATTTTTCAGTACCATTCCAACAAAAAAAATTCAGCGCGTGAACTTGGTGCTTGTGAAAGTAAAGGACAGGTCATCATCGTTTTCTAGATTGAGGTACCATGTTGTACACGATTTTCTGTCCTAGTCTTTTATTATGCCTTGGTCTTGACTAATGGACTTTTCTTTCCAGTCTCTAATCATTTGTATTATACCTATGTGGAGTTTAAAACAAACAAAGCCAGGTGTGTATTGTGGATAACAGTCTGTTTGACTGGCTCTTATGTTGCCTCTGCTCTCTGCATTCAGCTGAGTGGGCTGTTGATATTCTGTATTTGAATGTTCCTCTAGAGGTCGGTAGCTAGAGGCCACTGTGATCTCAGCTTTCACTTTTCATTCCAAAAACTGAGCATATTATGTTGCCATTTAAGCTGCATCAATCACTTGTTTTCTTAAGCTGCGAATAGCTCATACTAAAGTTATGTTTTGCATAATGTATTCCCTTGAGCACTCGCATGAAAGGTTCTGTCGACTTGAAAACAATGCTAAGAATGATGGTATATGAGAGAAGCCCTTAATGGGAGCCTAATCTATGTAATTGTTTTGCAGTGCAGAGTATGGACGAAGGAAAAGAAATGCCTTTAGAATACAGGTTGAGAAAGGTACGTCTGCCAGTATTGGCTCTGAAGGACCAAGGATTTGTAAAAAAAAACAAAACAAAACAAAACAAAAACAAACAACTTGCTGTTTTGTGTTAAGAATAAGACAAAAGCAAGTTCATGGATTTCATAGATTTTTAGGGTTGGAAGAGACCTCAGTAGATCATCCAATCCGACATCCTGCTCTACGCAGGAAAGAGTGCTGGGGTCAGATAACCCCAGCTAGGTATTTGTCATTGAAAGTATTCTCTTGTCAAAAAGGAAAATCTTTATGAAACAAACGTTTTGGGGGATTTACAATATAAGTTTGGAAAAAAATTAATGAAAATGAAAGGGGGTTTTCTATGGCAAAAAATTCCATTTTCTAGAACAGAAGTTTTTAATGAAAAGAAAACCCTCAAAACATTTTGACAGAAAGCGCTCGTCTGGGCCTAATAGAGATGGAGGACTAACCTCTATGGACATTAAGCTGGAAAGGTGCATAAAATGTATTTTAAAAGAACTGTTAAAAAGTACTTTAAAGGAATGTCTTTGTCTGAAGAGCTTGTAACTGAAATATAGTTATTGCTGGAACGATCAATTAACAGGGGACATGCATGACAAACAACAGAAGTTTCATTACATTGAATACTGTTGAGGTTAGGATTACATGTTTGCTATGTCAATACATTTTTCTATACATTTCAGCAAAATATTTAAAAGATTGTATCCTTTACTGTTCAGCCAGTAAACATGGAGTTTAGTTTTAGGGCATCTGGATCAGATAGTAAAGTTTGAACAGACGTGGGGAGAGTGGCTACAATAGTGTTAGGTTGACTTACAAGTTCTTATATTCTTGTATTTTTTTTCCTTCAGTGTTTGAGATAATCTGTAGTGAGAATGAATCTGAGAATTTATCAGCTTTAGAAGATGAACATGTAGCAAAAAGAGCAAGACACAGACGAGAAGAGAATGAGTAAGTAAGAGATTAGTTATCATAAGGGTACTTAATAATGATCCTAATAGATAGCATTCATCTAATATTTTGCATATTCAAATCACTATAAATCCTTCAGGCTGAAAGGAATTGATGTTTCTTGCACCCTTGCAGGCCATGTTTTTATTAGGATTTAACTTAAGAGCACATTTTTTTGCAGTAAAGACAAAGCGGTTATAGTTTTCATGTACATTAGCAGATCAAGTGGCAGTGCCGTAGGGGAACTGAGGCACCAAGATGTTGTTACTTGCTTAGGGTCACATAAGAAACCTGCAGCAGAGCAGAGAATTAAACCCAAGTCTCCCAAGCTTTGAGCTGATGCCATTAAAGACATGGTTTGCAGGCCACATCTGGCCCATAGAGCCCTATCATCTGGCCTGCAGTTCTGCCTCTGTGTGTTCAACCAGCATATCACATGTAGCATGTGCTGGCCCTGGCCCAGTGTGTGGAGCCCCTCTAGCACTTGCTGTGTATGGCACCTGTGCACTGCATCTGAGGCTGGTTTGGTGTGGCCTGCCCATGATGCAGTGAATGCTCCACACTGGCCTTGTATGTGCTGGATCCAGGGCCAGTAAATTAGCCCTACAGGCCAGATCCAATGTGCAGAGCCAGTCTGGCATGGGTGCTACAGGCAGCACGTGCCACAAACTGGCACCATGTGCTATGCACAGCGGGGCCGTGTAGGAAAGCTGCTTGCCTCTGCAAGCACCATGCTGCCCTAACCACTCTTCCCTTGCAGGTGGAGGCAGCATTGAGCAAACCTGTGCTGTTGCCCCTGTGCACACAGGAGAAGTGTGGCCAGGGCAGCATGGAGCTTGCAGAGGCAAAGAGCTTTCCTGTGTGGCCCTGCTGTGTCCTGCCATACCGGGTCACACTCTCTGTGCTGCAGAGGCCCTGGGGGAGGGCAACAGGGTGGGGAGCACGCACCTGCAGCACACACCTGCCCTGCCCCCACCCCCTGCACAGATCTGGGGGGTGCGGGTACCCCCTGTTCCCCAGGAGTGTGTGCTGCAGCCAAGAGCCCCCACTCAAGTGGGGAGCTGGCTCTGTGTTCCTTCTGCTGCAGCAGCCACTGCCTTCTGTTGGGGACAGGGAGCTGCAGACCTGGCTCCAGCTCCACCCTGCAGCTACAGCCTGCCCCCTCCATGCAGATCTGGGGGCACAGGCCCCTCCTCCCCACCCTGCCCTCCAGGGGTGCACCAAAAAGCCCTGCTGAAGCACCCAATCTATGCAGACACTGCAGAGTTGGGTCCAAGTAACACACTGCTGCTTCTGGTAAAGTGAGTTTTTGGCAGAGGGGAGGAGGGTGTTCATGTCTGTTAGCAGCCAAACTTAGTATTTCTGTCTCCTCTCCTTTCTCATAAAGGAATACAGAAAGCTCCATGGATGAGTTGGACGATGATTATCCAGAACATCCAGTATGTCATATTTTTCTGCATATTATATAATACAAATTAACACTCCCTTGTAGCTCTACAAATCTCAATTTGTTTTGCCTAAAATACCCAAGAATATTAAGATCTAACTGTGAATAAATGGATACTCTTTAGATGAAGAGACTCAAACAGTGGCTTAGAGTTCATACAATTCTTGGTGAGAGACACATTTTGAAATAGGTATTTCCCTGCTACCACCTGGTGTTTAAGTGGGTATATTAGGAATTGTACTTCCCACTGGCCATACCACTACCCTTCTGCTTGGTTGTGCCTCTCTCCAGTTGTCCTTCCTAGTGGCTTTCTGATTCATCACAAGTAGCTCATCAGAATGGACACAGTATCCAGCAATCTCCAGGTAATATGTTGAGGCTACAGCAGAAGGACTAAAAGTGGTAGATGCCAGCATTTAAACCTATAAGTTTCTAACTTCTCTCTTGTTAATGTGACTGGGAGGGAGGAGTTTGAATAGCAACTGAAGGGCTATGAGAATTGCCTCTATTTCAGTTGTTCTTCGTGATATGCTGGCTCTGAAAATATTGGGTAACAACCCATCAGTAGTTTTACTGGCCGAGAAGTAGTATAGACCAAGTCTGAGGCATTACTAAGGATGGGAAGGAGAGCATAGCTAAGGGCAAGTGTTATAGGGCATTGCCCTTTAAGTGGAGCAGGCCCAGCCTCTCATGACTCATCAGCTGCTTTTCATCTGAGAATAAACAATTGATCATGAAAGCCATTAAGTTGGGGAAGTGCTACAGTTAGCAGTGGTAGGCCTGGTAGCAGCAGGGAGAGGCTGTTGGGCTCCTGCAGCCTGCTTTGGGAAAAGGAGCAACTTTGTGTGTGCCAATTTGAGTTTTGAGTTGGAAGAATAAAACTATGGCCTGAAGGAAAGGCCTGAACAGACCTTGGGAGGGACAATTAACACCGCATCCAAGTAGGGAAGATAGGCTAGAACTCCATAGAGGGAGGTAACTGGGGCTGGGGCGTGGACAGAAGTACAACCAGAACTAGCAATTTGCAGGTGGCTTCCCAGCTGAGGACATGAAGGGAAGTTATTTTCCTGAGAAGACTATGGCAGGACTATGGTTTGGGGCTATTTCTGAGGGAGGCAAACTTCTGGAGGGCAGGGGGAGAAGGCAGAGAGGAAATGTGACCAGTAAGCTCTGAAAGTTTTGCTGACTGACAGAAGTGTCCATTCTGATAGTTATCATCAGTTAATGGTGCAGAGCTGATAGGTGCATCTACGCTAGCGTGCAGCTGATAAAAACTTAGCTTCCAGTGGAAGTTGTAAAGATTTTTGTCTCCCAATGGGCAAATGCAACACTTCTGTACTTACATAGTCAGCTGAGGAGTGGGAGATGCTGTCAGCTGAGTTCTTTCTAGTGTAAGCAAGACTTTTAAGGGCCAAATGGTGTGTGTTGAATTATTCCCGTGTGCAACTTTTCCAATAAATGCTGCCCTGAATGTGAGAAACTAAAGTTGTCTCTGCATCCTACTAATTTGTTTGTTTGTTTTTGTTTGTTTGTGTGTTTAACTTGAATTCCTCAGTCTCAGAATCACATGAACAGCTCTTTGTTGACCTTATACCGGAAAGAAAATCATGATTCTGTCCCAGGAACTCCAAAGAATGAGCTGATAGAAACTAGCACCCCTGTTCAAGTGACAGCACCCCAACCAAGTGCCCTTACCTCTGGAACGCCACTTGAGACCAGAATCTCTGAAGCTGGCTGGTTTATTGATAAAAACCCAAGTAGAAAAGATGTGGACTTTTTCACTCACCTTTGTGAGGAAGGAAATGAAGAAAAACTGATTTCTGAGGTATTGTGTCTTACAGACCTGATGACATTTAACAAGGTTGCATGTACACATTTCCTATCTTATGTGAGAGTCATTTGAAGGTCAATATGTAGAACAATACTGTCATCTACACCCTGCCCCAGAGGAAAGTTTGTACATTTTAAAAAGCATGAGCCTTTAGTGTGAAATACAAACTTGTTTTTATTTATACAGCTAGTCTATTTAACCCTGGAGGTAGCTGCAGTTCAGTGGTAAATGGAATAATGTGAGGTTTTTTGATAATTTTTTTAATCAGTAAAAAGCAATAGCTTGTATTAAGCTTTTGTTCTTGGATCACTTGTCTGGTTTGGTAATATTTATACAATCCTTTGTTGGAAAAAGATGAAAATTATTGTCACTGGTTTTTAATAAAAAACAAAGTAATAACAAAATTTGCATGCAAGAAGGGATTTACCCCAGCCTTGCCTTCTAGATTGATTGCTCCATTCTGTTTTCTTGTGATCTAGAAATCAAAAGATTTCTCTCTTTTGGAGAGTGAAAGAAGGAAGACAAAGGGTAAGCGAGAGAGACGAAGGAAAGAGGAGTCCCAGGATGTAGATGGTGAAATAGAATCTGCACTGCGTAAGCAGAAAGGTGAGAGCTGTTATTTTTCAAGTGGCTTTTCAGACATGCACCTGCCAGGTAGCTGTGGTACTTGAGTCTGAAAAAATTCAGTAAGGAATTTAGCCCTTGTGGAATATTTCAGTACTTTGATTATTAGATAAATATGCAATTTGATCTGTATAATCTAAGTGTTAATGTTGGTGTCTTTTATTTGGGGTTAAAAGCCAACATTACTGTTAGTATGTCCACATTTTCAGTAATTCAGTTCTTTCTTTCCTTCTTTTTTTCTTTCTTTAGCTAAATCTAAAGGACCAGAGTTGCTTCACCCTTCAGTGAAATTTGAAGATGTGGGAGGCAATGATGAAACGCTGAAGGTTAATCTTAATTTTTATTAAAACCTATTTAGGGTGTTTGTGGAATAGAGAACAAAGTGGGGAGAATCTTTGATATGTTTAATGAGAGAACAATACTGATTTTGCTTGGAAATATCAACAGTTCTCTCTCATGTAGAGCAATATGGCTTGTCATAGACCTTCACCTTGGTTCACCTCTCTCATGACCACTGAAGTAAGATAGTGACACAGAATTTAGTTTCTGTGATCAGCATTGTCACGTGTAACTTAATTTTCTTCTGTCAGAATGGGAGTTTCTTATTCCTTTCAGGAAGTCTGTAAAATGCTGATACATGTACGTCACCCTGAAGTCTACAACCACTTAGGTGTGGTCCCACCTCGGGGATTTCTTTTACATGGACCACCAGGATGTGGAAAGACGCTACTAGCACAGGCGATTGCTGGGGTGAGATGGCTTTTTCTAATGTATGCCTTTAATCATAATTGGGTCAGGGAAAGGGGAAAGAATCCACCTTTATTATAGACTTGATTAGGGGTATGAAACATATGGGCCTGTGGGCTGTATCTGGCTCAAAGCCACTCCATTTCACCCTGCTGGGTTACTGGTGGGCCGCAGAATTCAGGGGCCTGGCTAGTAGTAGGCAAGGTCTGCTGCAGAATCTGGGGCCCTGATGGACAGGGCTATCAAGCAGTGAGTGAGGGTCAGGTAATGCAGCCCTGTTGCCTGCAGCTGCCTGACCCCAGCTACATGTGCACTTCCACCATGGCAAGTGCCCTTCTGGTCCATGGCCACTTAACTTGCTGGTGCCACAGTGGCTGTTGCAGCTACCCTGTACTCTGGGCTGGATTCAGCTTGTGAACAACCCTGCAATCTGGGTGCAGCCTCATGCACAAGGCAAGTGTGACACCCCTAGACTAGATAAAAGTCAAGAGAAGAATGATTTCTCTTGTCTCCTTCCTGAATAACACATGTTCATTCAAAGTTAAGTAACAGCAATGCAGTCTGAATCTAACCTTAATGTATCTTTCTGCCAGAAAGAGAAGTATCAGTATTAAGAGATGGATTTCATTTTTTGCAAATGCTTCCAAGGAAGTAAGATAAGGAATAGACTTCGAGTAGGCCACATATTGGATTAGTTTGATTATTCAGAACTCTTCTCCAACAGTTTTAAGCCTGACCTTAAAACAGAAACACTTGTAGGATGTTGTGACAAGTCTGACTCCTGAGGGTAGTAATTCCTCTAGTCCAAGCTTGGAATTTACCCTTTGGCGACCACTTAGCTTTTACCAAATAAGATGCTGGTCTTTATCCTTATCAAAAAGCTCTCACTGCAAATTACATTTATTTATTTATGTATTTGCTAGTATTGATGTGATATTGTTGCTGTGATGATCCAAGACGTATGCAAGAGGCAGTTATTCTCATGGGTGATATCTTTGCTTGGATCAACTGCTTAGTCCAATAAAAAGAGATCACCCACAAGAATTCCTCCCTTGTATCCTTTTTTCAACTGTTAACAATGGTCTTTGATGCTTTCTGTTACGATGAAGCAGCCATTTGCCCTGTGGAGGACACCTGCAAATCAGGGTAGAGAGAGCTTGGTGGCACAGTGTGGCATTTGCAGTGTTCCTACCTTTTCTCCTCTTTTGAGCATAAATGGAGGCTCCCTATTATTAGGGCTTTCTTTTTCAATTTTAATATTTTAGTGAAATGGCCACAGGTTATAATTTTTTAGGTTTACACATTATATATAAATTATTAACAGGGCAGAGCGTTTTTTTTTCTTCAAAAGCTTCAGAAGGGTTCGGAACCTCTCAAACTTTTATTGAAACAAGTTGACTATGCCCTTTTCAGATTTAAAATGTGAATATTTAGGCTTGGATATACATGAGAGAGAGAGAGAGAGAGAGAGAGATCTAAGTGTGTGTGTAGATGTAATCTCTGTATGTATGCATAGTTCATGTATAATATCTCTGCCAAAATATTCACATTTTAAATTTAAATATAAAAACTATCCTAATATAGTAGCTGTTAGACGACTTGGATTAATTTAATACCATAATATTTATATGTGTTGGAGGTTTACCAGATCAAAAGAGTTTTAGTTTTCATCAGGTGAGATTTGAATTTAAAACAGATTTACTCTCTAACATTGACATCAGGATTCTTCTTAGGGATCGGGCATCAGTATGCCAACTCTTTCCTGATCAGCAGCAATACTATTTAGCTCTTAAAATGGGAGGCTAGAGATTCAATATTCTTTAACGCAGTACTGCTCAGATTTTCTGGAAATGGGGAAAATACCAAATTGGGTCCTTTACACAGATTCCATAAACAGGACACAATCTTAAATACCTGGTCTAGTTTAAACTTTTTAAAGGAAGTTGTTTTGCTTGGTTGCGGGGGGAGTGATATTTCTACATTCTGGAGCTTTCACAACAGGTTTTGTTTTTTGTTTTCTTGCCTATTTCTAGGAGCTTGAACTACCAATCCTCAAAGTAGCAGCTACTGAGATGGTGTCAGGAGTGTCAGGGGAATCTGAACAGAAGCTGAGAGAATTGTTTGAACATGCTGTGGTATGGCAAGCTGGCAGTGTTCTCATCATTAAATTGTTTGTGCCTTTGTTCCTTAACATTTTAAATCTACATGTTTCATTGCTGCGGTTTGAATTTGAACAACGTGTTAGTATTTATAAATAGCATTCTAGAGCCTAGAGGCATCTGTAGTAGTGGATACGGACCCTGCTGTGCTTGAACCTTTACAAAATGCAACCAACAATGCACTTTCCCTTTTTAAAAGATGACAAAACTAATATTAACGTATAGGCTGTTGTGCATGGCAATTCATTGCTTAAAATACTTGGCATTTATTTGTGCTGGGGCACTTTATTGTGCTTTATGAAGTTGATGTGTCTTAGAACTGATTTGGACACAATGATTTCTTTAGTGTGAAAGAAGAGACTACAGGCAGAATTGTTATGAATCTAAGGAGAAAAAGTTAAGATCAAAGTTTTCCCATGTGTGAGTTGCCTTAAACACAATAGTATTTCCAGATTACAGGCTGGGTTGATTATGATCAAACACTGATATGCGAAGAGTTTCATGTAAGCCACCTTGTTCTCTGGTATCCTGTTACCTGGGGAAGTCTTCCATAAGGTATATTAAGAAAATATTCTGTTTTCCCATCCCATTCCATCACCACTAAGCTGGGGACATATACCATTGTTCTTCAGGGGGATGCTGGGAGAGCAGCAATACCAAGGTGTCACATTGCCTTCTACCTTAATCTGAAGCCAAGGTGTAATATTTTATCGTAAAACTCCATTAATGCAAACAATAAGTAAATAACTGAACTATGGAATAAAACTGTCAGTAAAAATTTTTAAATATCCTTTGAGTTTACATGGTCTTGCCTTAACTCTCAACTGTGTGTGTGTGTGTGTGTGTGTGTGTGTGTGTGTGTGTGTGTGTGTGTGTGTGTGTGTGTTTTAAGGATACTTACTGTGTGAAACTATGTTTTGACTTTTTTTTAAAAGTTCTCCTTTTTTTTTAAACCACTGATACTTGTTTTTTTTTAAGCTGGTTTTTCAGAGATTGCCTTTTGTTCTATGATACCCTCTTAGCAAAATTAATGTGCATGCTATACCAGTTATTCTGAGGGACTCAGAGAAATAATACTGCATTGGCCTGATGGCTGTGGAGCTCTGCTTTTAAACTCTTCCCTGCTGGATAGAGAGGCATTTATGGACTTGAACAGACAAGCTTTCAGAGTTGGCCTTCAATACACTTTTTTAGCTTTAGAGTTTGTTAAGCATATAGGTGATTCAGAGAGTCCTGCAAGTGCTGCTTTTGATTAATAGTGACCTTTTAAGAACAGTGAATTCAGGAACAAAAGGTTTATAAAAACCTTATTATGATTTATATACTTCCTGCTTTAGCCTCTTGACTGTAATCTGAGATTAGAAGATAACTCAGAGCTGGCAAATAAGTTTTCCATTGATCTTTTGCCATTCCTTCTTATTCCATTGCACAGCTAGTACTGGTAGTGTTCCAGAAACCACAGTATCAATGCTAAGAAGTTGGCTTGTTCAGATATTCCGAACTTGAGCATCATATTTACTCTCATACTACATGCACCTTTTTTCCAAAAAATCAGCCCTGCAAAATAGGTATTTTTTTTTAAGTGTGAAAGCTAATTTTCTGCACAGTAATCAAAGCATGTAACTGTTTCCTTTAATGGTTAACGTGGGCTCCCAGCCCAGGAGGGAGAATCAGAGTGCTTCAGGGTTACAGGTAGTTTTAACCATATTACAGCCACTGAGCAGTAGAACTGTAGTTCTGATGGTGAGTGATGCTGAGGAGAGAGCTCTTCCCCTCCTTCCTGGGGCCAGCATTCAGCCATGTTCTTTGTTCATAAAGCTATGTAGGGCATGTGATATGCAGCTAAATATGACTTCTTCAAATGAAAAAGTGATTGCCAGAGTGGAGGATCTATAAACCATAATTATATATTTAAAAGAAAAATGTCATGCCTTATGCACAGTTCCATTCTATATTTGGTTGCTCCAGTGATGGAAAATAAAAATAGATAAGGATTATGGATATTTTGGCACAGGGCTGTTGTTCAGAGTAAATGGCAGCACATGCAGTAATATTTTCCTAACTTTTAAACGGAAAACTCCTTTTCTTAAATTTGTTGCAATGTTTGTAATATGCTGTGTGTGTTTATAGTGATTTTGGTGATGTTCTTGTTCCTAGTCCAATGCACCATGCATCCTTTTCATAGATGAGATTGATGCTATCACCCCAAAGAGGGAAGTTGCATCGAAAGACATGGAGCGAAGAATTGTGGCCCAGTTACTAACCTGCATGGATGGTCAGTTTAAAGAATATATATATATATATAATATATATATATATATACACATTTTTTTTTTTTTTAAACCTAGCCTTTCTTCTGAAATCCAGTCCTGTCTTTATTTTAATTTCTCTGATTTTAGCTAGCTGTGATGATTGAAAATCCTGTGGCATTCATATAGGAACAAGGGTTGTTAATTCTGGTGCCCCAGCCAAAATCCCTTTCATGTAATTTTTTGTTACCTTAAAGGGCCCTTGCAAATCCCACTATAAGAGTCTTAATTTCTGGGGATATAGTGGTATTAACTTCCTGTTCTGGGTTGCGTGCTCTAGAAATATATGTGGTATTGTACCCTTAGGGTATATTTTTTTCAATATGAGGGGGAATTACTCCTGTATATTGTTTGGGGAAAGCTGAAATCTGTGCTGGAATTGAAGCATGGAAATGCTAAAATTAGCTGCATTTGGAGCTGTAGTGGTTGCAGCTCTCCAGCTACAGAGAGAGAGGGGCAGAGCATACTCTGCAGCGTCAGTTAGTCTTGCCTTTTCTCAGCTGCTGCTGAATTGGCAGTAGCTTTGGCTGAGCAGCAAAAAGCTGCCGTCAATTTGGCAGTGGCAGTGAATGAGTTTAAAATTAGCTTTGCCAGCAGCAGCCAGTGAGCTGGCTGAGAGTAAGCAAGCCATTTCAGGCAGTTAGCTTAGACCATGACTCTGGAAAAATCTTTTTCTTTAATTTGCTTTTCCAAAAACAAGATGCATGTGGTATGCAAGAAAATAAAGTATGTCACAAAATACTTCCCCATACAAATATCTGCCTGTGATAGTGCAGCGCACAAACTCATTAGAGAAAATAAAGGGAAATGGTTAAAAGGAGGGGTGGGGAATGGATTGCTGGCAGTCCAGCATAGCAGCAAATATTTTCAGGTATCAGGAGTAATTTCCTGTAGCATGCATTTTTAACTGGACTAGAATAAACAGCGATAATCTGAAGATACAATACCATTAATTCTTATTCGTTTTCTTCCTCCCTTCCTTCCTCAGATCTGAACAATTTGCCTGCTTCTGCTCAGGTGCTAGTCATTGGAGCAACTAACAGGCCAGACTCACTGGATCCAGCACTGAGGCGAGCTGGAAGATTTGATCGAGAAATTTGTCTAGGGATTCCTGATGAAGCAGCTAGAGAAAAGTATGTTTCAGTAGGTCTTGGCTTCTTCAGTAGAACTGTTAAAAATGAGTAAATAAATTTTAAAGGCTTCTGAACTGTTTTTTAATGTTCGTTACCCAATTAGAGGTAGTCTTCTTAAAAACTAAATGCCTCTTTCTTAAACTCTATCCAAATAAGGCTGGCCCTTACACTAGACCTCTTTGTTCTGTAAACCAAAATAGGGTGCTCCTTCAGGATGGAATAGATGGAACACATCATGTGCAGGAATGCAAGTAAAGTCAAAATCTTAGTGGGTACCTTAGCTGAGACCATTGCTTATTTATTTATTTTTTTAAGCTCTGCTATTTTTTTCCTAAAAATATAATAAAGCTGTCATTTTATTATAGTACAGGGGTTGTCAACCGGGGTATGCATACCCCTAGGGTACTTCAAAAGGTCCTGGGGGGTATGCACGGGTGGGCAGGGACAGAGCACCGCCACCACCTCCCAGGAGCAGGACCGGGGGGAGCAAGGGCACTACTGCCCCACTGTGGGCTGCATAGGCGCCACCCGGCCAGCTGGATATGGGGGTGGGGGAGGGCAGGGGCTTACATGGCGGCTGTCAACGGCGTCCACCACCCCACACCACCACCTACCACTTTCCCACGGCCAGTCGCACGTGTGGCTCCGTGGGCTGCTGACAGCTGGCTGGGTGTGAGCAGAGGCAGGGGGAGGTGCCGCGCTGGGGAGGAGGCCCTGGCTGGCGCCTGTTCTGTTGATGCTGCCTTCAACTTACGAGTGCCTGGGACCCCGGCAGGGGAGGGGAGGGGAGGGGAAGGGCCCAGGCCACCACCCTGTAGAAAGAGCCTGCAGCTCAGGGCTGGCCTGGGCTGGGTGTTCATGGGGCCAGGCCCCACAGGCCACCCGCCACTCTGCATCCGGCCACCAGGGGTACACTTCTTAAAAAAGGTTGAGAACCCCTGGTATATTATACTCAACTAAACTGATTCTTAAACTTTAAATGAGCATGCGTGGCTGAGATTTTATTTATGTATCTGGAGAATGTGACTTGTGATTCTCAGCCTTGAGTAACTCTAAAATGAGTTAAAGCTGAATTATTATGCTATTGCACTGCTATGATCCAGTCAAAAGGACTAACTGAATAATTATATTTTCAGATGGGAGGGAAAATTGCTGCAAGGATTGTTTGTATGGTGTATTTTTCTTTTTCTTTTGAACAGAATTCTACAGACATTGTGTCGAAAACTTAAGCTCCCTGAATCTTTTGATTTTCATCACTTAGCTCATGTGACTCCAGGCTATGTAGGTGCAGATTTGATGGCACTTTGTCGTGAGGCAGCCATGTGCACAGTGAACAGGGTCCTGATAAATTCAGAAGGGCAAAAATGGAAGGAGACAGAGGCTGGAAAAGCAGTGAGTGACCAAAGTATTGAAAATGGAGAAGTACCAGTCAGAAGGCAGCCAGAGCTTGTAAAGGTACTTGATCCTTTGACACTCTCCTTTCTTAAAAATAAACTGCTTCAGAGTTGTAAGATTCTGTGCTCAATCTGTAGTAAACACATTTTAATCACAGCAATATTTGCTTGCATGTTATATATTTATGTAGCATTTTTATCCTTCCAGTTAATAAAATACTTCCTAATTAATTGTAGAAACTGTGTGAACATTTTGAGGCAGTTGCACCACTATAGGAAACTTTGAGACTAGTTTAATGCTTTGACAGCTGGGTTTTTTTTAGGTGCTTGCTTGAAAACTGCCATGCCTTCTATGAGGGATGGTGGTACAGCTACTGGTGCAGATTTGAGGTTGCTTGAACAAATAGTTCCAAAGACATGGGCCAATGCAGATCAAATTATGTCAACATGTTTTAGGTCTTAATTTTTTTTTGCACATGCTTAGGCTTAGATTGTGGCTCTAGTCCTCTCCAAATTGATCTCACCAGCTCAGGATTGATCTCATTTGGTGATTGATATTCAACAACTTATTTAGGAAAGCAACATTTTAAAAATTATTCAAGGTTGGATCTGTGACATAGCATGAGTTAGAGAAAGTGGTTGGTTGGTTGTTTGCAGCAGCCAGAGACGTAACAAGGATTCTGTTACAAGTAAGAACCTTTGCAGATAACCTGGTGTTGAAATAATGGGGTAGCTTGAGGTGACATGTTGGCCCCTGGCAGACATCAAGTCACACGGTTGGGACCTGGCAGATTTTATCCCTGATCCCAAAACTAGAAGGTCCTGCCATCGGGGTTAAGTTTAAACAGATTGTAAGAATGTAAGTGCTAGCATTCCTTGAGCTGTGGTACGGGGTTCCAGTCCCTAATGCCAAGCTTCCTTTGCCCCACAATATTTAAAAGGTTTGCCTACAGCTGACTTGCATAAGCATGGGATGTAGGCAGCTGACGATTGGGGAACTCCATACTACATGTTCAAATTTAACTGTGATACAAACCTGCCACAAAAATGTAAAACATCCATTTGCCATTTTTTTTCTATGATAAATTGGTTGACCACGTGGCATGTTGCACCTTATTGTGCGATTTAACACATTAATTGAACGATAAATGTTATATCTGCCAGGGGCTGTTGTGACCATTGAATCTGAATGGAGCCTATGCCCTATGGATTCTAAATCCTTCCATTTAGAAATTTTCTAGGAATGTGCTGTGCACATTTAAGTTGCTCTGTTCCTGCACTATGCAAAGGCTTCTGGAAGTCCTTGCCTTCTGGTTTAACAGCTAACGTTTTAAAATGTTCTAAAATTCACATGTGTACTTTGTTCCACTTTTTGAGGTAGTGTCAAAAAGTAAGCAGCTTCACTGCTTGCTTAAAAAAATGTTTTTATATTTGTGAGTGGGGGGGAAACAAAACAGCTTCACTGGAGTAAATTAATTGTGCTACATGCCTGTCACGCATCTCCTAAATGGGACTGAGTTTAAAGCAAACAGCTGTGACTCGCATCATCATGATCAAAGGGGTTTTCTGTTTTTCAGAAAACTAATCACAACAACGAACCCAATTCTAACAACTGCCATGAGGTCAACATCAACTAATTCAGTTTTAGAAATTACTTTGCCAATTTTAGAAGTTGCTTCAAAACAACAACCTATGTTCATTGCAGAAAACAACTTATGTAATATTTGATCCCATTTACACAAACAAAGTGTTCACACCTAGTTGATTCACATCTGGAAGTGCTGTGCTTTTCTTTGAAAAATGGAAGATGCTGGAAAAACTTTTAGTTCAGTGACCATCCTTTAAAACACTCTTAACAAACATCAAATAACATTTTCTTCTACAAGCTGCTCTTGAGAACCCAAGTAACCAAAATCTGTGTTTTTGTAGGCTTTTTTTCACTTTGAAATGGAAATCCTAGTACAATCTTATTTATCACAGCACAATGTTTCTTAGGGCATGACTGGCAGACCACATTTTGGTCAGCCTGGGAATAAACGAGAGACTGCAAATTGTATATAGCAATTGCATTTCATTATTGCTGAACCTGAAGATACACTCAGCAATGTGCTGACATGTTGTGAAAGTTTTTAGAAATAAGCACTGACTTTTAAGGACTGTGTATGAAATACATGAGTGGGACTCACTGTGCTTCTGTATAGAACTAGTTAGAACTGCAGAGCAAATCATAACAGTAAGTACCTTGATAAAAGTAAATCTTAGCAGAGATTTTTTTTTTTTTTGGCAGCCTCCCCAGAAGTGGCCAAGCACTGCATAGCACTACAGAGACAGCCCTCACTGGGGCAGTGTAGAGTAAGCTTGCCCTGGTACAAGTACTACTGTTACAAGTACTGTTGTACTGGTATGGTGCTGGTGTGGGAGGGAAAATGGAAAGTGGGATTTAAAACCAACACTGCAGAGTTGTCTAGCGCCTCTTCCAATATTCAACTGGAATGTTACCTTAATGAACATGTTTTTACTCCAGGGAAACCTTGAAAAATTGTGTGGTGGTAAAATTTTGTCCATTGTCATCTTTTTTTTTTTTTCCCCCCTTTCCCTTTCTTTTAGGATGAATTGCAGAAACTGCTGGAATTGCTTAAAGAGCAGGACCCCTTGGTAGAAGAGCAGCTGCAAAAGCTCTGCATTGAGATGAATGATTTCATTGTTGCACTGTCCTCAGTGCAGCCTTCTGCCAAGAGAGAAGGCTTTGTCACAGTTCCTGATGTGACATGGGCAGATATTGGAGCTCTGGAGGACATTCGGGAGGAGCTTACCATGGTTATACTGGTAGGCATGAATGCCATTTTGAGTCCTGCTAGGAAACATGATATCTAGCTAGAGGCAAAATCATATGTTTCAGAAATCTGAACTTGGTGTTCTGTTCTGAAGTTTTACTTCAAATTGTCTGAAATCTTGTTTGGTTGATCTTTTTGCTGCATCTTATTTAAAAATCCTTGTATTTTTGTGAATTAAGGTAGACAGCTAATTTTTTTCTTTGATTTATGTCTTCCTTTTCAGTGACAAGATATATTTAATGAGAGAGCTTATATCAGTGCTGCCCTTAGAAATGTCTTTTGATCTGTGTTTAATCAAAGACCTATCCTCATTTTTTTTTTTTTTTAATTTTTTTTTTTTTTTAATTTTTTTTTTTTTTTAATTTTTTTTTTTTTTTAATTTTTTTTTTTTTTTAATTTTTTTTTTTTTTTAATTTTTTTTTTTTTTCTGACAATTTCCTAATTTAAAGAAATTACATGCCTGTGTTTTAGTGTACTTTTCCTCTTCCTCAGCAACCTTCATGTAAGCTCACCATAGACACTCAGTTTAGCGAAAGAGTTTTTAATTACGAAAGCTCTACTGTCATACAGCTTAACTGAAGAAAATGTGAAAGCCATTTGCTACCACAAGCAAGAAAGTGCCCATCTAGTTGTTTGATATGAATATACCCATACAGTTGCTGGTTCAGCTCAGGTGGAAAGTTCTTTGTACCTTTGTTTTGGCTTCCGCTTTAGTTGCACCTTGTTGAAACTTTAAGATCAATGCTTCAGTCACTGTTAATTGTTTGGGTTTTTATCATAGGCACCTGTTCGGAATCCAGAGCAGTTCAGGGCTCTTGGCCTGACTGCTCCAGCTGGTGTACTACTTGCAGGGCCTCCTGGATGTGGAAAAACGTTACTCGCCAAGGTAGGAATTGCCTACTGTGTATGCTTCACGCGGATACTGGGACGTAGTAGAGTGCCCTAGGGAAGAAGTCAGATTTCTTTCAAAAGAATGACTTGGTGACATCGAATGGTAGATTGCTTCATTGGGTGATGGCAATAGGAGTCGAGCCCTCACACTGCTTTCAGCAGGAGCTTGAGTTAAACATTTAAATTTTAAAAAGTCTTTTGAAGTTAATTTATTTCCCAGTAAAATAGTTCCATTTCACTTGAGTGAGAAGGAAGAAAGGTAAAGGCAGAAAGAATGCAATAGGTTTAAAAATAATAAAGTGGTGAAAAGGAAATGGCTCCTTTCTACAGATCTGTCACTTTGCTGTCGTCTACTGTAATTAAAAGCTGTGGTTGTCCACTAAAGACTGGATCCATTTTACCACTTATTCTCAATGCTAATGTTTCTTTTGGAACAATGCTTTCCTCCTTAACTTGCATATTTCCTTGAATTTCTAGACCAGCTCTTGTGTTTGGTCTTTAAGGACTGTTCATGTGATGACATTTCTCTGTAACGTGCACTAGTCATTTAGAGTTGTTTTTAAAAGCATTTCTGGAACAGGACCTCAGTTTAAAAAAAAAAAAGCTGTGGGAAGCAGCGTGTGTGTGTGGACTGTGTTGAACGAATGAATTAGTGTCTGGGCTTGGGTGTGGGCTCCTAAAGAGCTTCATATATTTTGAGAGAGGTTTGATAAATAATCTTTTCTTTTGAGTTCTTCATAAATCAATGAATAGAAGAGAAAATGACCTTTTTCATAGTGCATCTGGAATCTTGCCAGAGTTTTCAAGAAAAGAGAATAGATAATACTCTTAAAATGATGCTTCAGGAAGTCTGGTGAATGGAAGCCTAATATTATCTGTGTGATGGTGGGGTTTTTTTAATTTTCTGGATAGGCTGTGGCAAATGAGTCTGGGCTGAACTTCATCTCTGTGAAAGGTCCAGAACTGTTAAATATGGTAAGTGTTGATCATTATACCTTGACCTTTACTATTTTGACTGAGTTCTTTGCTGCAGCTTGAGACAATTGAGTCCTGATAATCACTAAGCTGGTGTTTTGTGCAACAAGAATGCATCATGTAATGTCATCTTAATTTTTAATAGCTCTTATAGCAGCCAGGTCGCTCTCAAGGGATGCATTTAGGTGGCATAGTTCTTACCCAGTTTGATCTGCCTCTTGTGGTGCATCCTCTCTTAAGGTGTGGTAATCCTCTCTTAAGGATTAGAGACTGTGGGGCTTACTTGATTTGCATAGTAAGACTTTTGAAGTAACTAACTGTTTGCCTCATTGTTGGTGTGTGCTGTGAGGACAAAGGGCAACATTTTCAAGCCAAATTAAAATTTTCAAATAGTGATGGCTTCAGGACTTGGCATCTCTGAAAATCAAACCAAGTACCTAAAACAACTCTGTAAATTAACTTTAAGTGATTTAAGACTGGGGTTAGATTTTGCCAAAGTTTTCCATCTACTTTATATCGGGATCTAAACCTCAGAAAAGATGCTACTCTTCAGAATGTTTAAAAGTCATTTATTGTGATCAATCATAAACATAAGTGTTATGATTTAAGGCAAGTCCTCGACTTAAAAATATCATTTTTATTACACTTTGATATTTTCCCACACCTTTTTACAGTTTAAGAAATGCGCAAGGTGATCAAAATGATTGTACTTCATGCTGCTCAGATTCAGATTGGAGCACATCACTTACCTCTTTTAGTAAATGGGTGAAACTGAAGCCAAAAGAAGTGGATTTGATCCATTTTTTTAGTTAGTGCAGATCCCTGCCTCCTTAAGTTCAAAGGGAACTGATTTATGATTTCTGGACTCTGAGAATGGAGAGATGAAGCACATTAATGGTGAATGAATGCTGTCCGTGGGGTAACAAAATGTTCTATTTGCAAATCAAGTGAGGCTTTTGCCCTTGTGTAATGACTTTCTGAGGGAAGAAACTCTTTATTTCAATTCTTTCTACATAGTTCTGTTTATGAGCTTCAGCAGATGTGAATTTATGGATGCCTCAGATACTTAAAAAGATTCATTAAGGTTATGGAGAGGAATATAACTGTTAACTCTCTCTGTCAGTATGGTGGCAGATATTCATTCCCATAAGGCAGTTCCTTACCAGTTTGGCACTGACACTGTGCTGCATGCAACAACTTAAGTTGTGAACTGGGTAGTGACAAATGCATACAAATTTGCCTTTTTCCTCGTCCAAAAAAAAAAAAAATTATGGGTTTAAATTGATGATAAACTTGGCAGAATTAAATGGAGTAAATAAAAGTATGTGATCCTTTGGCCTCGGCAGGCACCACCAATCATGGATTAAATTGGATTATGAAGCAAAAGTTTGATATTTTGGATTGTTCCACCGTGTTTCTATATTATTTCAGTATGTCGGTGAAAGTGAGCGTGCTGTACGTCAGGTATTTCAGAGGGCCAGGAATTCTGCTCCTTGCGTTATATTTTTTGATGAAGTGGATGCATTGTGTCCCCGGAGGTCAGACCGTGAGGTAAGCCTGAAATCATATCCCACAAGTTACTTTAATCAGATCTTTCTTTTGTGTCCTGGTACTGTAAGTACAGACTTTCCGGTATTGGGTACATAATGTGGCCTGGATTGTAGCCTTGGTAAGGACTTCTATGGTCTACTCTCTTCTAGAAGCTGGAAGACTAACACATGTTCCATGGTCACTGCAGTCGCATGAATTAGGGCTGTTAAAGTAACATCACTCCCAGATGTTGTCTTTTGACCGTCTGACTTTTGTTCAAAGACAGTTTAAATATGTCTGTGGTGATCAAGTCTGTTCTGCACCTGTGGTGATGTTTCTTCATTTTGATATCCTCTTTGAGCATGTTGTTGTGCACATCACACTTCTTCTTTATTCAGATATGGGTTTTAAGTATGTTTGCATTTAAACTTCTAAATATTTTCTCTTCCCATTGGCCCCTTACTCACAGGTGCCATGTAAATCTTCCATCTCCTTAAAAAAAAAAAAAAAAAAAAAAAAGTAGTTCTAGTGCAAAATTGTCACAAACTTGAACCAAAAGATAGTACTAAGTTTGTAATTGGGTTTGATTTTGGCCTCTACAAATGCCTGTGCTCATGTGTACAATCAAAAGGGCCCCTGGGTATGGAAAACTCCTCCTGCATGAACTGTGTGTATGATGGGCATAACAGTTCTTGTCAATGTAAAGCCATAATAAAATTGGGTGCAATTCAGTGCAGTTATTAACATCGTATGATAATCTAGCCCAGTAGTGCCCAAACTGTTGGCTGTGGGCTGGATCCAGCCTGCAAAGTAAGGTAATCCAGTCATCTGACCCATGGGGCTTTCTGTGGGTTTGGAAACTTGGTGGCAGGAGAGAGGTGGCAGCATTGATTCTGCAGCTCCTGGAGCTGCAAAGACCAGAAAGGTCAAGCACCATTGATCTAGACCATACAGTTCAAACACTATCCCAGCATTTCTAATCAGATTTAAATGTGATTTTTAAGTTCAAGGTAAGTGCCAAATTACTTTTTGTTGTTCTCTCAGCTGAACTGACACACAAACTAGGACTAAAAGTTATCCAAATTATCTTTTCTTTGTGGTTAGAAATCTAGATGCTCAACAAATGACCCAAAATGTACATTATTTTATGAGAGATTAAATGAGTTAGTTCTTCTCTTAAAAAATGAAATAAAGAAATACCTACCATATTTATCTGAATCCAAGATGACTTCAAATTGAAGACAACCCCCCCTAAATTAGATTCTATACATAGAAAACTATATGTTGTAATTCTCCATGTGTAGAATATAATTATTGGATGTTCATCTCAATCTCAGATTTGTCCATCCCCCCTCCCAACGCTGCAGCAGGTAAAGCAGTGACAAGCGGGAGGCAGCCTGTCCCTGGTCCTTTTGTCCCATCCCCCCTCAACTCTTGCACCTACCCTTCCCCCAGTGCCTGCCCCCTGTCATTGGGTCCCATTGTGCCCTGGGTCCCTTGCCACCCTGTACCACTGCCTTGCACTGGGTCCTGCATTGCCCCACACCTCACAGAGTAGATCCTGCTGCTGCTTCTACACTTACTGCATTTTTACTTGACTCTTGATTCTGAGACTAAGCTTTGGGGTGTTCAGACCTGTCACCTTTTTAAAAAAAAATCTGTACCACTGCCAAGGTACACCCTCTTGCTAGGCATGCTTTCACATTATTTGTAAACTGCAAGTAGGGGCCTTTGGGGGCAGTTGCGGTATCTGCAATAAGAGAGTACGAGTTTGAATAACTGTGTCTGAAACACAACCATACCACCTTCACAGTATGCAGAAATCTCTACTTCTGTGAAGTCCACCCTGGTTGATGAGCTCTGTACCCTGTGAATGTTGCATGTGGCCCACAAAGAATTAGCTTACAGCCCCTAAGCTCCCAGTTTGATCACCAGCCCCCTTCATTACTTTGCTGCTGTTGCTGCAAGGGACTCCAGGCTTCTCTCACCTCCTCCAGCTTCCAGGGGTGGGACAGGGCAGTGCAGTTTGCAGGACCCAGGGAACTTAGGGCGGGGGGCCCATGTGATGTGGTGTAGCGCAGCCACGTGTGTACCCACTGCACATCCCAGTGGAGGAGTGGCAAGGGGGGGGGGGCGTTGCTATATGACCCAGGGGCTATGCAGCCCCTGGATGCTCAG